AAATGTGCCTTAGAAAGTTTCCTGAAAATCAGCAAATAGAAGCTATGTCAGACAGTCTGAAGAATGAATTTGAGAATAAGAGTTTGTCCAGGCTGGGAAAACCAACTATGTTTGGAAATGTGTTAGCTAGCAAGTTTAAACTGACAGAGCCCAAGTAAGGCAGGTTGTGTTTAAAATCATGCAGGTCAATGCTAAGCTCCCCTCCTCAACTATCATGTTTGAAACACAGCTCTCACAGTTGTATTTAAATTTTGGTTAAATGTCAGTTGATACAAATAGGGAAATATGAACAGGGTTGTGTTAGTCCTGTTAGTTACTTTAGTACTGAGCCTTCACATAGCTTGCTGCACATCTTGGTCTCAAACATGTGAGGATACAGTAAGATCTTACTAGACTGTGCATTAACTGGGGCATCCGGGCCCCTCGCAGCCCATGTGCAGGCAGCAGATCCCAGCGTCTGCTAATCCAGTTTTCCTGCCTGGCAATGTCAGCATGGACCCGTGGGGAAAACATGAGAGAATGACATGGACTTGAAAGAGTTTCCTTAATCCTAGCTGCAGTGATGTGCTTTGTGGATGGGCCAGCTGCTAGCAGCCCTCTCCAGACAGCGGCTTGCCTGGCCTAGCCTCAGCATCAAAAGCATTGCTGTGTTCACATGGCTCATCACTTCTTCCTCTCCCAGACTACGCATAAAAGTCACCTTGGTGAAAGTGTCCCTTACACTTTCACCCAGCTCTCAGGAATTATATCTAAACATCAGAATTTTGTGCCCTTGGTTCAGGTTGTTTTCAGCCTTTCGAGTTTCACTTTCAGTTTCAGGTTCTATTGAATGCAAAATGATGAAACTGAGACTTGAGTTGAAACTGGAGAATTTTGCTGAACAAGTGCACTAATCTAAAAGAGCCTGACAGACACTCATCACATGCCTTTGCTAAGCCAGAGGTAGAACTACTGTCTATGCAGCAACACCCGCAGAAGTCTCTCTCAGAAATAGGAAAAGTATTCACTAGGCTTATAGTTCACATTTATATAAGATAATATGCCTTTTTTTTTTTTTCCCCCCCAAAGTCAATTGACGTGTTAGAGAGTAGGTATTATGTCTGTAATTTTGCACTGGAAAGTGGCGTGGTGAAAATTAAAGCAATGGAAACTTGTTTTATTTTATTTTGCTAAGAATGTGGTGTTGCTGAAAAAGTACCCAAGGGCTATCAGTGCTTTATGAAAATGGCTGCGTGCTTCTCTGTGCACCTACATAGTGCTCTGCCATTGATGAATCGCGGAGCGATGAGGATCAGTGCTCTCATAGATATAAAATAGGTTAGTATAGTGCCTTTTGAAGATGACTTTCTTGCTGGGGTACGTGCATGTGTGCATATAGATATACACATACACACTGCATGTGTATATATATACACATACAATGTGTATATATATATATGGTAATGTACATATTATGCTTTGACCAGGTACTTCCAGAACTGATCTGAAATCTTTGACATGTGAGGCAGCTTCTAAATAACATTGATTTTCCCAAAGTCTCAAACATGAAAAACTACAGCATGATCAAATATAGGGATTTTTAAGAATTGGTTCATTTTTACTTTTAGGATGCTAGTATGGAGAAGAGGATTGAATTTCCTTTGAAATGCTCAGAGGTCTGAGTAATGGAACTTATAGTGCTTGAATAGTAGAACTGTGCAGTTAACCTCCCAAACTTAAATTAGCAAGACTGTGGCTGAGGCAAACAATGAGTTCATTAAATTGCTGTTTGGCAAATGTAAGCAATGTGCTGAACAGAACGTATCTCTGCTGCAACCAGATAATTTAATGGTGTTGCACTGTGGATGCATTACAAATCAAAATCATCTCCAAGGAAGCTCCATTAAATGACCCACTGCAGCAAGGATGCAACAGAGAGAATATAGAATATAGCTTCACTACATCTAATGTAACTGCCACAGTCAGGTGTTAGTAGAAAAAMTCCCAGAACTTCCTTTCAAATGCTAGTCTGCACATTCACCCCTAATTTTGTACCTCTCTAGGCAAAAAATCCATAATACACAGAAAAAAAAATCTTTCATATAGGTCACTGTGGCAAAAGAAAGGTTATCATATCTCGCTTTGCARTCCTATCTCTTGACTTCTTAGTTACCTAGGGTCGAGGTCCTGAAATTTCAGAACTATCCCCTGGTTTGGGAAGCAGTTAAGGTGCTTCCCAAGATTTCAGTGCAATACTGACATGTTTTTGCATGTCAGTCCATAGAATGTGCAAAATTACAATGTGCAATTTTTTAACTGAAAATAAGTTTTTAAAGAAGATTTTTTTKGGGGGAAGGAAGAAAGTCTGTCTCTACCTCTCTAATAATACTTAGTATGATACTTTACCCTGCAGTCCAAGCTCTTGTTGATTTAGTGGCCAYTCTATGTGCCTGCATTCAGGGGATAGCTCGCACCCACGCAAGGAGCCTCTGCAGCTTTCCCAGCTCCCATGGGCTAGGACACCAAGGCCGGGAATCCCCACTGCTCCTCAGACGTGCACCCGGAGGACGTGGGCAGTGGCCCCTGGCTCGTGCAGCTGCGTTCGTACGCGCCGGTGGGGAGGCTGGACCTTGCACGTGAAAGAAGGCAGAATTTGGTCGTGTTTGGGAAATGCACCCTAGCTCCTGGGTCTTGGTGCCCGTAGGAAAATTATTATGCAGTAGGTGGGTAATCCTTTAGTATTTCATGTACTGTTGGCTTCAGTTTTCCTCAATAATGAAAGTGGGAGGCTTTGCCTCTCCCCGGGAAGGGTCACATGGACTGTGGCTGCAGCCTCTAGCCCTGCCAGGCTGCAGTCCATAGAGCGAGCCCCGAAACGAGCTGGGGCTGTCAACTCCAAGATCCCACTTTTCAGCTAGAAACCAGTGTCAATTTTCAAATCTCTCTGAGGGACCAAATTACAAGTGCAGCGAATGGAGTGATCTGGAATTCACAAACCAAGCCACCCACCACCAGTCCCTCCAGAGGTCTGTAGTACTGACCTAYGCAGGCACCCACACTGGGCATGTTCTGTAGTACTCTCCTGCTTAGCCTATTGCTTGATAGCATTTGCAAGAAGACAAACTGACACTTGTTTGATATATTTCCTAAGAATAGATATATCTTAGTGGTAGATCAAAGCCTACCTATTAGAGGTAAATTACAACTATTACTTTTTAACCAGTTCTCAAAACTTAAAGTTTACTGATTCTTTTAAAACATCCCTGGCTCAGGTGGCCCTGTTTAGCATATGAATATGAAAAAAAAACTACTGTGCTTTTACTTTTGACTTTCCATAAACAAGGCTACTTGCCTTTCACCATTATTTGTAATTTTTAAAGTTCTAGCTAGAAGTTTTCACTAGATGGCAGGATTCCACTATCATCTATTATCAATGGACTTGCAAAGCAACAGTTCACATCAGTAGGAAATACTTTTGAACATATTCGAGTTTTGCAAAGTATCAAAACAAACAAAAAAATCACTATGAAGCAAAAATGATACATATGCTCAATAAATCATAGCTCTGTTAATGAATATGGTTAGTAGTATGGGCTCAAACCACTCAAAATTGTAGTGAAGTAAATTATTTTCCTGACAGTGGAGTTCAAAGAACTTTCTTTACAAACTGAGGTATACTTGCACATACTGCTTCTGCTATTTGTGAAAAAGTAACTGATCCAGTAAGTTTACTGCATCTAACTAATAAGTGCATAAACTTAAACTTTTTTTTTTTGTCTAAGGTTCATTTTAATCTTTTTTTTCTTTTAATCTTTCTGCCTTGTTCAAGACAGAACAAACGGTGCAGGGATCAGTCCCAGCACTGCTTCAGTGCTGACCACAGGGCTCTGTACATTTGTCCTCCTTGTCCAGGAGAACAGAGTGTGGCTCCATACAGCTATATAAGCCTTAATGACCCTGATAGATCGTCATTGTTGCGATGGAACGAGCACTGGTTTTTAGCAAAACTAGGTTTTAAAAGTTTTGGTTTTGTAATTTGGGGTTGCCAGTACTTGAGGGATATATTTTATATTTATTAGAAATGCCTATTTCATTTTTTTCCTTTTTTTTTCCTTTTTTTCTTTTTTCTCGTTTCATACATAGAGATAATTTATGAAGCGTTAGGCAACTTCCAGTGTCGTTCGTGAAATACAAGAGGGAAAGTTTGGTATCTATTAAAGCTGTTCTTAAGACTGGATAACTTTCCAAAAACAGAGATAGCTCAGTGTAATGCCTTCCAGGATTCCCAAAATAGTAAGAACATTTTCTCATGATAAGACTGTACTTATTTTATGCCTGGAGTATAAAAAGCAGTGTAAGTAGATGACAAACAGCATTTCCTAGTGTGAGACTCAATTTAGTGATACGCTGTGTGCCTTCAAAAGAGAGCAAATCAAATAGGAGTGGAAGGGTGGCAAGTACCCCCTCACAGTTTCAAAACTTTTATGTTCAAGGAAATATTTGCAATACTTGAAAATTATCTAGCAATAATCACTGCTTTTTATTAACAGCAAGCATAATCAGAATCTGTAGAAGTTCTGCAAAACACGTTAGCAAATTCAAACAAGCGTCACAGTAAGATTTGTCAGACAGACTCCTGTCCTTTTTCCTCCTTGCCACACAACTCTGAAAACATCTTTCTCTCRTGATCCTACCTTGGCGATTTGTAAAGGCTGCTTTTGCTCCTTGCCACCTTGCAATCTAAAGCCCCAAGGCGCCCCTCCGCTCATAGCAATGCAGRTATAATCCCCCGTGCCCATTTTCGTGCTGCAGTCAGGCAGTGTTCATATGCAGAAGAAGCTGGGAAAGTTGCCTCGCAGCTGCTGCCTGAGGTCTGTGAGCCGGAGCAGAGAGCGGAGCCCCGCGCTGCTGCCGCCGCGGGCCGCGCTGCCTAGTGCGCGCATTGCGGGCAGCGCAAGAGCTCGCGCCCGGGAAGGGCTCGGCCCACTCTGTCGTCAGCTTCCAGCGCTCAGCCCACCTCGGCCCTCGAGCGGGAAGCACAAGGGGCTGCCTCTGAACATGGGGCTCCTGTGACAGTCAAATCAGCAACAGTAAAAAGTAGTGCAGACCTCCTGGCGATGATTCAGGACATGAGTTAACTTCAGCATGAGCTCTAATTTCCCTGCATCTTGCACACAGAAGAAAGTGGAATCTCAAGTGGAACATCGTGCAGATCACATGGATAAGTGATGCACTCACGCTGAAAGCTTTAGGCTTTGCCTCCCCGCAGTGTGCACTTTGTGCAGAATGTGGATGTGTGTCTCCCCCTTCCCTCTCAGCACCCCCTCCCCTCTCACCCCCGATAAAATCAAAAAACTTCGTATTATAATTTCCGGATCTTGGAATTGCTTATATTGCTGGTTCTCTCTTGCTGTAGTGTAACTTAGAATCACTGCTGTTTAGCAATGGCCCAAATGATTGCAGGACTCTGATAACACCTGCTTCTGTGCATTACACCAGGGAAGGAGATTAATGGAATGAGGCAGCAATTTGATTTACTGATGGTATCAACAGGTGATTTGAATTTGTGCCACCAAAGGGCAACCACATTATAATCATGAGGGAAAAAAAGGATTTGGTGGAAAATTAATTAACTACTGACTTAGCAAACCTGGGTTCAATGAGCTTCTTTGTTACTGAATTGTAGACTCTAAACAGGTGAGCTGTTGCCRAGCTAGCTGGAGCTGTTTAGAAGGTTCATTAGCAAGGATGAAGATTGTCTCAGCTGAGGCAATGGTGGCAAGCAATGTGAGCACTGGTGCTCTCACTCAGCATGAAGGCAGCTAGCTGGGCTCAAGCTGTGCTGCGCTTCCAGTGAAGCTGGTCGCAAGAGAGCGTGTTTGGCAGGTAGGCAGAGACATCTTTAGCTGCTGTGTTCGTTCGGGAAGCAAAGCAGCTCTCGCTGAGTGGCTTGGGCATTGGGGGCTGATCTCAGATTCACACAGCCTAAATGCTACCTGGGTCCCTGGACGCACTGTTTGCAGGTGGTTGGCTCCTTGTCTTGACAGGTGTCAGGACAGGAGGATACACTTAGCACCTAAACTTAGAAAACTTGCAGCTAAGTATATCCCCATCTAAGTTGTCTCTGGCAATTCAATGTCCATACAGTGATGTTTCCCACTGCTGTAGCAATGTACTTTAAAGACCATCAGAGAAAATAGCAGAGGCTCTGCAGTTAGACTGAAATATCATGGCTGGAAAAAGGAGATGAACTTTTAAGGCATTTGAGCCCTTTATCCGGTATCCCAAAGCACTGAGGTAGCCCCAAAACTGTGAGGAGACAAGCTCCCTAATGAAGCAGAGGGAAACCTGGCTCTCTTGTTCTCAGGATTAAGAGGGAGAAGATTGCTTCCTCTTAGAAGTCAAAGGCTCTGAAGAAGCAGGACAACTGATGTTTGCCTTATACATAGATGCTTAAGGAAAGTACAAATGGCGACAGCATTCTTGTGAACAAACTGGTCTTTGAAGATACTTTGCTRCAGAAGCACTACTGGAAAAAGCCTTGTTTGAAATAACTTGGATCAAGGATGCTAAGGTAGTTYGAGGTGCTTTTTACTCTCCGGCACAATGTTGGTTTGTTGCTGTAGAAGAAGCCAAAACACCAGGAGCTGGTTGATTTTTGTTGTATACTGCATGTGAACTGCTCCCATGCAGCTGCTGAAGTATCAGTAGTCGTTAATTAAATATCATGTTACATCTATGTATGCTGCTCTAGACGAGAGAGCAAAGAGGAATAATTTGATTTAATCATAGGATTTGATTTTTATCAAAGGAAATTAATTTAAATTTGATAAAAGGTAAGATAAAAGTGGAACTATTTGGCAAGGAACATTTGGTAAATTGATCTTATTAGCAAAAATTAATGGCTTTCTATAGCATTATGTAAATGTTTTGGGAAGATTCTTAAAAGTATTTTTCAGTATTTGCTTAATGATATACTAGATTCTAATTTTTGAAATCTATGTAGTCCTCTATAGTTTTAACAGAGAGAGGAAGAAATAAGTTTGTCCTAGTCAGCGTGTTAAGGGTTTTTCACTTGATTTAAAAAAAGGCAATTTTTTTTCTCTGTAGAAGAGACCTGGCAATTTGCCCTCAGTAAGGAAATCCTTTGAAGTCTGTTACTAAGCTATTCTTGTGATGGAGAGATCTAGAGCATTTTTCTTTTCCTTATCTATTAAAAAACAATGCCTGATAGGCATTAAGGACTTCCATTTACCATATATGACTTTCTTAAATGCTTATGCTTCAGCATGTCCTTGCTTTTTAATACTAGTCTTATCTTATTTTACATTCTCTGCATCCTTTGGGATTTTTAAATGCGGGCCAGAAACTGAACAGATGATAAAAGTTGAGCCATTTGTGTCATTTTAGTCTCTGTTTTAGTATGAATATATTGCATGAATCTTGAGATAATTTTTGAATGTGACTGAAAAACTCTAAGATACCAACAGCCACAGCYATTTAACCATTCCCACCGTCTCCACAACATTCACTGAAGCCAAATGATTCAAATCTAGTTAATTTAATAAACTTGGCAAATGACATATACCAGACTTCACTCAGTACCAGTATCTGTCTTTTTCCCCAAATACAGGCAAAATTTTGGCATGGGTCTGATCTGCTATTATAMGATCTGAGTGGAAGAAAAAAATCCCATGTCAAAGTGCAGCTGCTTATTTGCTTCTAAGAAGTGGCAATCAGCAAATTTAGCACACTAGCTTTAACATGCTGTCATAACCTAAGGGTGGCCATACTTAGAGCACCATGAGGCCATCTAGCCTATCTGTTTGGTAGGGAGGGTGAAAAGTAGATGATTAGAAAAGCAAACGAGAACATGAAAGCCCTACAATACTTTCCCCAAGCCGCCTCCAGCAGTTGCTACTCAAAGACTTCCTCAGTTTCTGAGTATTTAGAGTATTAACTTAGTATTTAGAGTATTAACTCTGTGAATTTCTCTTCCATTAACTTTTCCAGGCTCCTCTTGAGCTCACAAAACCTTTAGACTAAAGCTCTTTGCAGGAAGGYAGCCCAGCTGTGTTATGACATGAAGAACCACTACTTCTTCTCCAACCCTGGCTCATGCGCTCTCGGCTGAGGTCTCTTACCCCTTGCTTCAGAGGAAACTGAAGCAGCAATCCGCAACCACACTTTTCCAGGCCACTTATTTTAAGACCTCTCTTATGTCCTCCTCACTCTTCCATTTTCCAAGCAGAAGAGGAATTAATCATTTCTTATGCAGGAGCCACCTCATACTACTTGCCTTTCTGTAAATTCTCTATATTTCTCCTGCATTGTTTTGAGATGGTGGCCTAGGGGACGGTGCAGTGTTCTGCAGGGTGACAAAATTAGGATTTATGCAATAACGTGATATTCTCTTTTTGTTCTCCAATAGCTCACTCTGACATTAGTAACACCTGATTAGTGTTTTCAGGTGCTGCTGAGCTGATGTTTCCATGGAACTATATGTTAAAATCCCAAGATGTTGCCTGATGATAGCCAGTTCAAAGCTCATTGTTTTATATGTGAAGTTAAATGTTTTTTCCCCATGTGCTTCACTTTATATTTATAAGCTGTCTTACGGTATGGCTGCTTAGTTTTCCCAAAAGTCTTTGGTGGAGGAATTTGTTGAAAGCCTTTTGTAAATCCAAGGTCAAGCAGATCACTCTTATCCAGGTGTTTTTTGATCCCTTCAAAGGATTGCTTTAGGTTTGTAAGGCAAAAGTTGCTTTAACTCTTCCCAGATAAATCATATTTATCCAGGTGTCCACTATTTCTTCCTATAGTGGTGGCCTGTTTGTTTGGTATAGATATCAGGTTTACAGGCATGTTGCTTTCTGAATCTTTCTTGGAACATGTTTCTTATAATTTTTAAAAATGTCTCAGGTAACAAGGCAGTTTTAAATTAGTGATAGCTGTTTCTGTCTTGAATTCCTTTAAAGCTCTTGGGGGAATACTGTGTGGTCTTGATGGCTTCACGTTTGTTTTGCTTACCTCGTATACAATTACTTGTCCATATAGCTTCTTTTTTTTTTTTTTTTTTTTTTTTTTTATAACAACACCCATTTGTGATCTTGAACAGTTTTCTATCAGAAGACTTCTCTAAAATCTAATTTGAACCAAGTAGTTCTGTAATTTGGTTCGGAAGACATTTCAAAAATGCCAGAAGCAGCAAGGCAGATGTCCATGTTTCATTCAGCAATAAAAGAACAGTAGCAGTTTCACCTGTGCTTTTCTGCAGTAGTATCCTAGGTCTAAGGGTTCTTTGGAAATGCAAAAACGTTCAACCCATTTCTTTGTAATCTCCACTTTATAGGAGGCTTTTTTTTTTTTTTTTGCCATAAATACCTAGACCATTTCTTCCCTATTACACATTTCATATTCTTTATCTGATCTTTTTCATATGAAATGAAGATAAGCTATTCCCCTTAGAATGGCTGTTTTTAACAGCTCTCTAGTAAAATCTAACTATATCCACTATAAACAGTTTAAGAAATTACATAATTCATTGCAGGATGTGGTTGCAGACAATTGGGAGAATTAGCAGGGAAAAGATTGGTGCTTTTTCATTTTGTTTGTTTAATAATTACAGTGAGGGTGGAAAAAAGGCACTTGCAAACATATAACTAGTTAAACGAAAGAAAAGATAAAATCTTTTTATTGTCATTTAAGCAGACACAAAATACAGTCTCTTCCAAATGAAGTGAAAATGTTCTTTTCTAATATCTATTCCTTGAAATAGAACAAATAAATAAAAAGTAAATTCTGCAAGCAAAAAATAATATCAGGTTACCTAGCCTATGTTATTGTCCTAAATCATTGCCTAGCAACATTCCTTGTTTTAATAGTACAATTTTATATAGTTTTATAAAGGACAAGCAAATTTTGAAGAGAGCCAAGTGATTTTTTTACCAAACTTTATCTAAGTAAAAAATACATTTCTGCTTAATTCTTATCCTTAATATTTATTCTCCTTAGTTTAGAAACAACAAAATAAAGAAAAAAAAAAAAAAAAACACAGAACCACATGGGAAAGGTTTCACTTTCAGAAAAGGTATAAAATGACAAACAAAGTGAAATATGCTGATGGCACATGCAAATGTTTAGCTCCAGCTAACATTTGTTAAAGCTGATTGCTCTTCTTTCCTGTGCAATTTCTCTTGTCCTACAACAGAAATTAATACAATCCAGATGTTTTCATTGCATGAGAAACTTCACAATGCACTGCAAACTAGATAGATAGGGATTTCTAACTGAAACTGCAGCCCTGTAGCAATTAAAGTACTGTAAAACAATAATACTGAGTTCTTTGTGAGGAGAAAAGAGAATAAAAATTCAACTTTTTTTTTTCAGTGACCCAAGTACCTGGAAGACCAGACTGGGAGTTCCTGCCCACAGTGATAAGAGATGTAAGCAATTTCTCGCAGGGTTATTGGGTTGTTGGGTTAGATACCAGTTTTGAATTTTAGAAGTATTCCTGTTCCAGCCTTTCCTTCTGTTTCCATAAYGCTGAATGAAGTATAGCGGAAGAAGTAGAGAAAGGTTCTGAATCTGACTGTGGTGTGAGAAATGGTTTTCTTGAAAACATAAAACAAATGTTTTTAGAATTTTAGAAGGTGAAGCAATTCTTGTTCTAAGCTGAAATACATAAGTTGAACTGTGAAGTTCTGAAAAGATAAAAGCCTGCCAGTGTAAATGGCAATAAATGAGAAAGCTAATTCTCAATCAAGCTTCTCTTTAAGGGGGAGAAGTAATTTGCTGTTGTGCTCTGTTAGAAATAAATCATTTTGACCTCCATACCAGCCCAGCAAAGTTTAACAATGTTTCAGATGTGAAGGAAGGGTCAAGGTTTTGCTTATTTTTCTTCCCTACCTCTCTGTTTCCTGACTCAGATGAGTAATAGTAACTCTAGTCAGAAGCAAAGATTTTATAATGCAGGTAGCCCAYGTAGGACAATGTTCCTTTTGATGATAGACTTAGCAATAGTCACAATTATTCCTTTCATTAAGTTAAAGGACCTCCGAGAGACCTGAGCTGATTGCACATGCAGTTAATATAGATATTGTTATTCTGCAAGTGTGTTTTTAGTTACAGATTACATTACCATCAGCTATATGGTTCACTAGGAAGGCAAGTTATGAGGCAGCTGGAAACGGAAAGTTTGCTATGCCATCACCAGAAGGGTATTTCTCAGCAATTTCATTAGTATGAGTCACCTACATCCTTGTGGTCATTCTATCATCATGATTTTAAGATCTCTTGTAAGTAAGAAAACAGCAGAAGAAGCCATTTGCTCCTCCAAAACACAGAAACTAAGTTAGCGTGTTTGAACATTACTGACAATTGATGAAACAGTATCAGTTCATATAGAAAGATATCTACTGAAATGAAGTACTGCCACAATTCACCATGCCAGGAGGTAGATCAGTGAAGGTATGGGGTATTGATATGTGAAGATATATGTATGCACAAGTGGAACAGATCACAGATCCTCTGCACCTAAAAACTCATCACCATTAAAGTACAGTGAGTAAAAAGATATGGATAGATTGAGTCAGGAGTTTGGAGAACAGAAGTCCAGTATCTTTGGTCTTTCACCTACTCAGTCTAGAACCAGTTCCAGATACCAAGAGATATATTTAGAGACACAGATATATTTTTTCCCTTGTCTCTCAAAGCCTTTCAGGAAGGCTTTTGAATTTCCAGGTGTACAACCCTGCCATGCTCCAGCAGCACTCTGTAATAGGTGCTAGCCTTGTTCCCTTCCTTCTTCCTTCCTGTTTGTATTGGTAGACACCTGGGAATTGCAAGTGATCTTGATGCAGCCAATGTGCCTTGCAACAGGGACCGGCTAGGTGTATGAAAAGACATGGATTTCAGAATGATTTAGAAGAATCAATGTGCAAATTACCTACAACAGTTCATAGAGAATTTGTAGTGAAGGAGTTTCATCTTGCTCTCCCAACAAGAGTTGTGAATATGGAATTTTCTGTAATTTGCTTTTTGTTAAATTGAATGGTGGGAATTAGTGTTCTTATTTGTCACTCCATTGATCGTGACTTGGATTAGCAAGCAAAAATTAATTTTCCCTCAGGATTTGAGGAGACTCTTGGGTATTTCCACCTCATTTTGGTTCCCAAATGATGGGATGATTGCATTTGGTCTTCATATGATGCAAGAGGGCCTTTGCTTAACRTCCCTTAAGAGAAAGGAAAACTATTTCTCTGTTTCTGTGGGATTGTTTTCCCTTTTTGGCAGGATCATCGTCAGATTCCTACTAATAGTGCTTAAAGGGATCAAAGCTGTATTTTTTGTGCAAAAGCTTTTGGATCTTGAACTGAATAAGTATGTAAGTAGGTATTCTATGTTTATCATAATTCCTCACTTCTGCCATAATAATACACCCTGCCCTTTGAATTATCATTTAAAAGCGGAGGTTAATCAATACAAGACATTTTATCTATTTATTCATCATAGGCAGTCAGCTTTTATGATCTCCCCTTTTCCTACTGAAAGAATCCAGTGCAAACATTTCATGCCTACTAATTGACTAAACAAATAGACCATGCTTAACTCTGTCCTGATGTCCTACAATGGCAGAAATCCAGAGTAACCATATCATACCCAGCTGCAGAATTCATGATTTTAAACATAGTTTAGTGAAAAATTAGACTCAAATGACAGCTTAACAGGGACCTGGAGATTGAACGGCGCTTGAAGATTTAATATTAGTCTGGTAAATATTCATCTGCATCAAATTTCGTATCACTTTTTAAATTTTGTTTCATGTGAGCTAGCATAAAAGTGATTAATTTCCTTTGACTAGTTGCTTTTGAAAAGCACAGTGACTGATTACACGCATGGCTATGATCCAGCATAAAAATCAACCATTTTTGCAYTGTAATTTAAAGCATGCATTGTTTTTTACTTGAAAGCCTCATAGGATTTAATTTGTTAGCAGAGGAAACAAGAAAGGTAGAAGCGGAGGAAGAATTGTGTTATAATATAGTACGGGTCTCAGGAAACTTGGGCTTAGTTTATATATGTGCGCATTCGCTCTTAACTTTTGTCTGGATCTGTAAAATGGGAGAAATGGCCATTCAGCAGTGTAACCTTGAGAAGTGTGCTTCCACTTCTCAAATACTTGGTGCTTAGTTTGTATCTTTTGAATCTTCTTCTTTGATCTTTCCTCTGCACGCTGCTATTATAAATATTCAGTGTCTGCCCTGGTGGGTCTATGATGTTGGTGGCTAGAGCTACAGCCTCTAGCAAGAGGGCAGCGCGTAATGTTGTTACAGCATTAGGTTATGCCTGCGTAGGGCTAATGTTTCCCTCTGTCTGCATCTGGATGGCTCTGTTTGGATTGTGACCAGAGAAACCATAACAATGAAATGATATAGCAAGGACCTCCCTGCATGAAACCTTACATGTGAGTAATGGCAAAGATTAAAAAGCACTTCAAAATACTCTCATTCCTGGCCATATGAGCAAGAGTTCCAGCTCTCTGTTTTGATTATTAATTCCTTTTCAAATGAAGCAGATTATGTTAGAAAACTCTGCCCTGCAAAACCACCTTGGTGTTTAACCCCTGCTGATCCTACATATTTTCCTGTTGCACYGTATCTTACTGTCAAGAGCCAGTTTACACTTCGCAGTTTCTTCTGTCTTTGGCATAGGCTTCTGCTTTCAGGTGATAATCTCCCACATGGCTGATTTTGGCATGGATTTCTAGACAACCGCTACTATCTGCAAATCCTGACCAAGTGTTTTCTTGTGCATCCACAGGGCAAATCCTGTGTGTGCGCGTGTGAGCCTAAGCAGGCGGTGGGATTTGAGTCCTGTCCGGTGTTAGCTGGGTGCTAGTGGCATCTCGTCTCCTCTCTTCGTTCTTTCATTCAGAGAAGTGGGTTGGTTACTTGATTGTGATTGACTTAACTCTGATTTTTATTGGTGGGAAGTTGATTCAGTTGATATGAGAGGTACCCAAGCAGCACAAAACCAGTAAGTATTCTGAAAAAAGAAATATTCTCTACTGATATATCAGTAAATATCAGATATACTGAAATAGCGGTATTGATATTTTTACAAATAAGAGATCTATTTGTTTTGCTGCTATGTAGAACTTCTACCATATTTGCATGTTCRGGTAGAGGATTTCTTCCTCCCATATTAACAGTGGTGGAAAGCAGAATTGCAGTGAATGTTAGCATAAATGTATACCCAAGAGTTCAGTATTATTGCATTATTTTACCCAAACAACAGCAGCAATATCAAGAAAATATTCTGAAAAGACTTTATGTGTGTTTTCTTTTTATRTATAGGGCAGTGTGTAAGGGGTGTACTTTAATAAGAAATTCTAACTGCCATWGAGATTATCTAACCAAAATATCAGTATTTACCTCTGTTGTAGCCATATTTATTTCTAGCTTGTTTAGCATTTTATATTAGAAACGCAACTGCATGAGTCACAGCACTGATGAACGTGACTTGTCCTACATTGGACAGTGCTGTTCCTTGAAATACCACATATTTAATCTGACCTCACAGTCATATTTTCCTCAGAAAAGCATAATGGCTTCTATATACGTCTGCCTCTGAAGGTCTGTCTTCACTTTCATTTTAAATAGTTTTTTTGGTAAATATTCATTTTTATTTGGCTTTTAAAGTGCCTCAAATTGTAAACTGTTTCTCCATATCTTAATAATAACAGTAGACAAAACATCATTAATGAGTTTAGTGATTATATGTAAGCAAGACGAGAAAGGCATCCTTTTATATAAACAGCTTTTAGAACCCTTTTGATGTTGTGCAAAAGCAAACCTGTTATGTCTATAGAAATAATATATGAAATTAAGAAGCCAGTATCAACAGAAAAGCCTTTGAAAATATAAAATATTTGGAGTTCTATAAACTATTCCCCACATCTTCTGCCACAGAATTGTTTAGAATATACTTTGATAGGAGGCGATCATATAGTGCTGAACTTAACACTTTATTACAATTTAATAACAATTTATTACAATTCCTTGCTGAAGCTTAAAGTTAACACAATTAATGTCAACTGTTACAAATGCTATGGTAGGGCTAACATCATGAGAGATGTTCATCTCCCAAAGATTTCAATACAGTCTTTTACATAACCCAGTGGTTCTGTAACCTATAGGCTCCCAAGCTGGTGGGAGGCCATTGTGTTTCCGACCTAACAGAGAAATTTCTAATGAGAACTGAAGTAGTGAYACTTTAGAGGCAGAAGTTTTGCTGTCTTTTAGTCTAGATATGAAAGTGTACAGATTTAGACAATTTCCTCTATTTGCTTCACCAGTAATACTAAATTATGTCTAAAATGTATGTAACCGCATTAGTTTTCAGTAGCATTGCACAGGTACAATTTTGCAACAAACTGATTGCTAGGGGTTGTAACTTCACCTGCAGGATCTTCATTACTGAGGATAATAAGCAAGAAGAAAAGAAGCAGCCAGATCTTATGATAAAGTTTGATTCAAATGATTCACATTTTTAAGGTGACATCAGTTTGGTATTCCTAGAATATCATTTTATGAAATCACTTTTCAGACTAGGAATGCACTTAAATCTTTAATGATGTTTCTGCATTTTTGAAATTGAACAACACAATTACTTCTACTGTTTACAGCTGGAAACTGTAAATATTACTTGTAGCTTCAAAATGTACTGTAATATGCTGTCTTCTGTCTTAGTATTATGTGCTGACAGACAACAGATGTGAAACCACTTCCTCCAGCAGAGGTATCTCGATCCATTTTCAGAGCAGGCCTACAACAGGGGAAAAATTGACAGTGGCATCGCTTCTTTCCTGTCTTCTGCTCATCTCACCTTCCAGGTTCACCAGTGACTATTTCAGAGAGGGAAGGATGGGGCAGGAAATATTCAGTGGCCAACTGTGGGGATCTGGGCTGAATTATCTGCAGCTGCTTACTGTTAATAGTTAGACACAACGGGACTGGTGGGACAAGAGATTGGCCCAACTCCACAATAAGATATGGAGTGTCCATGCTCAAAATAGGAGTTTTTCTCTGAGTGGCTTGCAGRTCTGTGACAGTGGCTTGGGTTTTTAGAGGTTCACTTTCATAAGTGAAGTGCTTGCATGCCCAGGCAAAGGGAGAGAGACAACAGGTACYTCTGAAACTACGGTATGTCCGTGATGAAAGATGTGTATTATATTTTGCTTATGAAATAAGCTGATAATGCTGCAGTAAGAAATGCACACAACTAATACTTTTCAGCTCAGGGACTAGGTTTTTCATTCCAGTTAGATAGGTGTGTGCAATTTGGAAAGTTTTAGCAAAATTTCTCTCGCAAATCCAACAGTAATGGTTCCAGTAAGGTGTAAACAAGCGGCTTCTAATGGCGATATAAAGACAGGTGAAGAGTCATTCCTAGCAAAAGGCTATTCCCGTCTGCTTTGTGTTGCTTATTGAGACTTCTTGCAAGTGTAAGGAGGTTCTTCCATGTTAAATGAGGCCCGTGGATACTTTCATATGTATATATATTTTCATATATATTCATTTAATCTATATTCATATATATATKAATATATTCATATGTATATAAAGCATTGCGGTTTGGGGTTTTTTTTAGAAATATTTTGTAGAGTAATGATGTTTTAACAGTTTTCTGAGAATATCCATTGGTACAATTTAGCTCCATTTACGAATCATGTAAAAGTGTTTCTTACTCTTAAAAACTTTCATAAGGTTGGAGATCAAACAATCAGAATCTGAGAAACAGTATGAAGCCTGATTCCAGATAAATACAAGTCAGGAAGTAATCTTCAACTGAGTGACTGAATGGTGACTATTTTTTCACCTCCCTGACTCCAGGTCTGTGATGGTTTGTTTCTGCATTGGAAAGCACAGTTGCTTTGCAATAGGCCCTTCTCATGTTACTACATGTTTCTATTTTAATTACAAAAATATTGACCCTAGCCAAGGTAGTATCTGTAAAGGTATTTGAACAGTAACTAAAACTAGAGTAGGCAAACAAGTACCTGCATCGTATTTCACACTCTTAATTTTGCCGTCTGAATGTCCCTTAAATTGTATTATAAGAAAAAGTGTATTTTAGGATGTTGTTTCAAGGGGACTTTATTAGAGAAGGGAAAATCCGCCGGTGACAGCACTTGTTTGTAAGCCGCGGGTGCCCTGCACGAGGGCTCGCGTGGGCCCCACGGTCCCGGGGCTTCCTGCCCGTCCCTGGCGAGCCGCTGGATCCATCCCGGCGCGTCCCGCGCCCGGCGGCTCCGTCACCCTCTCGCCTCTGCCGCCTGGCCGGGCAAGGCCTGAAAGGAGGCGGCCTGAAAAGCAGCACTTGGGGCACCCCGTCCCGGGCCGCCCGCTGCCGTACCGCGGCCTGCGCGGCCGCCCCCCGCCCCCGGCTCTGCGGCTGCCCGC